ACAAACCTGCCATTTTTCGATCCGTATCCCTCTATTCCCTCCCTATTCATGTACCCATCCAGGTGCCTCTTAAATGTCTTCAATGTACCCACCTCCTCCACCTCTTCTGGTAGTGCATTCCAGGCTGTTACCACTTTGCGTGAAAAACTTCCCTCGCACATCTCCCTTAAACTTTCCCTCTTTGACCTTGAACCTTTGCCCCATTGTAATTGAAACTTCAACCCTGGGAAAAAGCTCCACCCTATCTATGCCTGTATCAGGTCTCCTCTCAGATGCTGTCTTTCCAGTGAAAGCAATCCTAGTCTTTTTAACCTTTCCTCATAGTCAATGCCCTGGAGACTAGGCAACATCCCAGTGAACCTTCTCTGTACTCTCTTCAAAGCTTCCACATCCTTCTGGTAGTGTGGTGATCAAAACTGCACACAATACTCCAAATGTGGTCTAACAAGGGTTTTATATAGCTGCAACATGTTTGCTAACTCTTGTACTCCACGCTCCGGGAAATGAAGGCAAGCATGCCATATACCTTCTTAATCACCTTGGCTACCAGTGTTGCCATTTTCAAGGAACTGTGGACCTGCGTGCCCAGATCTGTCTGAATGTTAGTGCTCCTAAGGGTTTTGCATTTACAATATAATTCACACCTAAATTTCACACTCCAAAATGCATCACCTCGCATTTGTCTGGATTAAACTCGATCTTGCCATTTCTGTGCCCAAGTCGCCAATCTATCTATATCCAGTTGTATACTTTCACAATCATTGTCACTATCAGCAACTCCACCAATCTTCATGTCATCAGCAAACTTGCTTATCAGACCACCCACACTTTCCTCCAGATCATTTATATACACCACATTTATATATACAAGCAACAAAGGACCTAAGACTGACACCTGTGGAACACCACTAGTTACTAGTCTCCATTCTGAAAAACATCCTTCCACCACTACCCTCTGTCTTCTATGACCAAGCCAATTTTCTATCGATCTAGCCAGGCCACACCGAATCCCTTGCGATTTTCATTTTTGTACCACCCTGCCATGTAGGAGTTTATCAAATGCCTTACTAAAGTCCACATAATCTACATCCACTGGCCTTCCCTCATCGATTATCCTTGTTACTTGTTCAAAAAATTCAATCAGGTTGGTGAGACATGACCTTCCCCGGACAAAACCATGCTGCCTGTCACTAACTAGTCCATTTTCCTCCAAATGCACATATATCCTGTCCCTCAATATCTTCTCCAAGAGCTTGCCCACCACAGATGTCAAGCTCACCGGCCTGTAGCTTCCTGGATCATCCCTGCATCCTTTCTTAAACAAGGAAACAATATTCGCTTGTCTCCAGTCCTCTGGAACTTCACCTGTGGTCAACAAGGATGTGAAGATATCTCCTAATGCCCCAACTATTTCCTCCCTTGCCTCTCTGAGTAACCTGAGGTAGATCCCATCTGGTCCTGGGGATTTGTCTATCTTAATGCAATTTAGGATTCTCAAAACTTCCTCTTTCAATATGCTGACATTCTCTAGAGTATTCAGACACTCATCCCTGACCTCAACATTAAGGAGAAGCACATGACTAGTGAAAACCAATACAAATTACTCATTCAAAATCTCCCACTTCCTGTGGCTCTACATATAACTTTCCTCCTTCATCCTTGAGTGGGCTACTCTTTCCCTTGTTACCCTCTTTCTCCTAACATATGCATAATTTCCTTCCTGTTTCCATATCCTTTGATTTCCTGGGAGACTAAAAAACAACCTGTCTATTCCAGCCTTAAATATGTTTGACAACGCAATGAAAAATTTCTTCTCATCTTGGTCTTAAATGATGGATGCCTTATATTGAAGCTGTTTTGTGCCCATGTTCTAGATTCCCCAACTAGGTGAAAGAACCTCTCAATCTGCATCTTACCAGGCCCCTTCAAACTTAAATACATTTGGTCCTATGTACTCAGCCTCTCACCAGAGGAAAGCCCTCTCAGCCCAGGAATGAATCTAGCGAACCTTCAAGGCCTGTGATGCCTTAAACATGAAGGCTAAAAGTTGTGTACTGAACTCCTGGTGTGATCTCAAAGTCCTATATAATTGTAGCAAGACTTCATTCATAATAGGAAAGTTTAACTACTCTTTTGCTTCTCTGTGTTCGTGCCCCCTCCTTTCTTAAATGATTCTATTACATTTCCTAAATTTAATGGCCACTGCCTGGCACTTCTGTAGCAAGAATGCAATTTACCATTTATCAGCTCATATTTAAAACATTTTAATTGCTGGAGGTGCTGCAGAGATAAATCCTGGATAATGAAAGAACAGAATTCCAAAGGAAGTTTGGAAAGATGCGGGTTTTTCAACTCAAATTAAACAACTGGGACAGAATCTCAAGGTGCAGAATATAGTGAAATAGTGGAAGAGATAAATCGAGTACTTCAATGTAACTCAATAGTTGGACAAGGGACAAAAACAAAGTTGCTGGAAAAGCTCAACAGATCTGGCAGCATCTGTGAAGGAAAAAGTAGAGTTAACGTTTCTGATCCGGTGACCCTTCCTCAGAACTGACAATAGGACATAGGGTCATACATGCAAAACAAATTTGGAACAGATGCCAGAAAAAGGTCATTCCATATTTTTTTTTTTAAAAAGTAATCAAATATAAAAGAATGGACTTCCAAGTTGGATACTGGAGGTAGAAATTAAATTCTGTGATCAAACAAAGATGAGACACGATTGTCTGATATGACTGAGATGGGAAGCTGACTGCTCTCCTTAAATAATTATCGTGTGATAACTAGTCTTAGCAGTTTGAGGGAACAGGCCTTACAGCTCCAGATGCAACCTTCTGCAAGGTTTCTTGCACAGCAGCTCATGCTATAACATGTACAGGAGCAATCTATTCCAGACAACAAAGTGGGTAGACCAAAAAACAAGTGTTCAGGGTTACTTTTCTGATGAAGGGTCTAGGCCCGAAACGTCAGCCTCTCTGCTCCTATGATGCTGCTTGGCCTGCTGTGTTCATCCAGCCCTGCACCTTGTTGTCTTTGTTCAGGGTTACTTTCCTGATTTTACAATATTTCTGTGTTCCTCCAATTACAAACTCCTAGCATCATTAGGTTTTCTGGGTTTTAGGGCAAAGGGATGGTGTTGGTAATGCCATCGGATCAATAATCCAGAGTCCCAGGTTGATGTTCTAGGGGCACAGGTTCAAATCCCACCACAGCAGCTGACGACATTTGAATTCAGTAAAATCTAGATAAACAAAACCTAATCTAATGGCCATTGTTACTTGTTGCAAAAACACTCCTGATTGGTTCGCAAATGTGCTTTAGGGAGGATAAAGTGGTAGATTATCTGGTCTGTCCTATATGTGACACCAAATCCAGAACAGCATGATTGTCCGTTAATTACCCTCTGGCTTTCTAAGCCATTTCAATCAAGGGGAACAAAAGATGGGTGACCCCTGCATTCCACATACAAATATACAAAATTTAGTACTAACTAATTTATTCATATGTACATGTGACATACTGGTGTTGAACACAAATGCAGATCTTGCTTGGATCTGATCTTTGCTGCATTTTAATTATGGTATTGTTGCTTTACAGAGTCCTATTAGGCTTACTTCAGAGCAGTTATGAGCATTTTCTTAATTGTCAATCATTTCATAATCACAATCACAATCACAAAGACCACATTGCATTATTATCTCAACATATCCAACAGAACACAAAAAAGAAATTCAACTCTATCCCATCACCCCAAGGAATGTAGTGGTTCATGAAGGTGGCTCACCAACTTCTCAAGGGCAATGAACAATAGCAATAAAACGCTGGCTTGGCCAACGACACTCACATACGACAATGAAAAAAGAACGTCAAGGGGCATTGGTTGGATTTTCTCTGGTTGGAAGTGGTCATCCAGGCCACACAAGTGCCAAACAATGTAACTTGCCACACCAAGCCTGAATGTTGTCTAGGTTTTGCTGCAAATGGACATTGGCCCCTCATTGGGTTAGTAGTTTAACTGGCAAATACCATCACAACTGGAATTGGCAGGATTGCAGAGCTTACATCCGATTCGTTGGTCATTGTATTGCTCAGCCCTGTTTATCATATGTTACTTATGCTGTTTGGCATACAAGTTATCACGCTGATGCCTTATTTTTAGATATGCCTTGATTTGTCCTCCTGCACTCTTCAGGGAACCAGGATTGATCCCTTGGCTTGATAGGATTGGTAGTGGGAGAGATATGCCAGGCCGCAACCTTATAGATTGTAATTAAATACAATTCAACTTTTCTGAATGCCCAGCTGTGAGTTGCTAGACCAGTTCAAAGTCTATTCAATTTAGCATGATGGTGGCACCACACAACAAGATGGAGGGTACCCTCAATGTGAAGACTGAGCTTTTCCACCACATAGGCTGTGCTGTGGCCACTCCTGCCAATACTGTCGTAGATAGATACATCTATCACAGACAAGGATTGGGGAGGACGAGGTCAAAGGAGGACTTTCCCTCTTGTTGGCTCCTTCACCGACTGCAGACCTATTCTATTACCTTTAGGATTCAATTAGCTCAGTCTGTAGTGGTTCCACCGAGCCACTATTGATGATGGTCACTGAAGACCCCATCCAGAGTATATTCTGTGCCCTTGCCATGCTCAGTGCAAGACAAGAATTAGTTGAAAAATTATGTAAAACACATCATTAGCATAAAACCAACAGTGTGACAGATCTGAAGAGATTCACTCATTATCCTGGATAACTTTAGTATCAAAGTGCATCAACATAATTCCGTTGTACAGGTTCAAAATCTATTCCTAGGCAGTATATTCAATGATGTCATCGGCAAATCACCGTTTAATAAACAAACAAAACTACATGGATACTGAAACATAAAGAGGATGTTACAAACATTAAGACATGAATAACACACACAAGTTGATTGTACAGCAACTCAACTGCAGCTAAATGATTGCAACTCAGTTTCCACAAAAAACACTTACACTTTAAGCCCAGGAGAATCTTCTGTGTAGAACCGCCACATACCCCCAGTGCCTGTCGAGGTGGTTCGACCAGCACGGCTCACTGCACTACTTGTAGCTTTTCTGAGATAAAAGAATAAGGATGAATAAACATTAATATACAAGAGCTACAACCAGGAATGGCATGTTGTTAGCAGGAATCTACTTTAACTCAAGATTAATTTTGGTTCAGTTAAAATCACGTCAGACACAAAACAATGGAGTTCATGACTGGGTTTTTTTCATCCTCACAATTCTTGTCTGCTTGCTTTTCTCCCTAACCGAAAAAGGTCTAGAAGAAAATATCAGACACTACAAATAGCACTTTACTAAAATGTACCTCTTCATTCTAAATTTTAAAAAAGCTGTATAAGAAATAATATTTTAACCAAGAGATTTGGTAGCAAAGTTCAAGCCTCTTAGTTGAAAGTTAAGAATTTGCAAGGGGAAAAAAAACAGATGGCAATGCTGAGCAACAGTATTCTCACATTCAGGGTGTGGGAAGGAAGGGAGAGAAGCGACAGATCGGGGTAGCTTTCACCCCCTTCCATCATACAGGGCACAATAGGGGAAGTGTAGTTCTATCAGGTCACTACTTGATTATGGCTGATGTTAGCCAGAAATGGGAATTAAAATTATAACAAGGAACTGTGTGTGGTGCTATTCAGCTACCCTCATTAAAACAGAACTTATGTTGAAAGGTATCAAATGTCCGATTACATTTTAGGTTTGCTATTTCACAACAGTATTTAAACTATGTGAAGACAGAGGCAGACATTTCTTGAAATCTTAAATAATATGATGTAGTACATCAAAATATTAATTAGTTTAAGACGAGGAAATAGACAACTGAATATTGAACATAAGTACGAAACAATATTTTAACCACTGCTATTACAGTGGTTTATATCAATAATTTTAATGCCAATTACAATATTGAAAACACTCCCCAGTTGTCTTATATTAAAATTAGTTTCTAAATAAGATAATCCATACTTCGACTTTTTTGTTTTAGGTTTGGATTATCAAATAGATAGATGCACAAAACAACATATTTTCATAAATCTGTGATGTGGCAGCCATTATACATTTTGATTGTATGAAGCTTGCAGAAGGATCACACTTATAGATTTAGTTTTCTGGAACTGACTATTCTAGAAGTAATGTAGATCACAGGCAGCCAGTTTTGGCCAGCTTCCGGACATTAATTCAAGCGGGGGAAGCATCAAACTAGGGGTAGGCCAGTACAAAAAAAAAGGTCATTCAGCTGATCGAGTCTGTTCTGTCATTTAATGAGATCATGGCTGATCTGATAATTCTCAACTCTGCATTCCTGCCTTTCTCCCCAAACATTACTTTTCCGAACCTTTCTAAAAATTTGTATCTCAGCCCTTGAAAATTCTTAACAATCCACCCTGTGGTAAACAATTCCAAATAATTCACCAGCCTCGGAGAATAAATTCCTCCTCATCTTGGCCTTAAATGAAAAATGTCTTTTTCTGAGATTATGCCCTCTAGTCCAAGACTCTCCAACCTGTCAAGCTCCTTAGGAATCTTATACATTTAAATAAGGTCACCTCTGATTCTTCTAAAGTCTTAACGGGTACAGGCCCAACCTTCTCAAACTCTCGTCATAAAGCAATCCTTTCATGGCTGAGATCAATTTACTGAACATTCTCTGGTCTATCTCCACTGCCAGTATGCTTTCCTTAGGCAAAGGAACCAAAATTGTATTCACAGTATTCCAAGTATGGTCTGACTAGTGCTTTATATAGTTTCAGGAAAACTTTTGTATTTTTATATCTTAGTTCCGTCGAAATAACAGCCAACATTCCATTTGCCTTCCTATTACCTGCTGAACTTGTATGCAAGCTTTTTGTGATTCATGCAAGAGGACCTTCAAATGCTGCAACTTTCTCTATTTAAATAGTTCAGCTCCTATTTTCTTCCCATTGAAGTGAAAAACCTCATGTTCCCCACATTACATCCCATTCTGCCAAGTTTTTATCCATTCACTTAACCCAACGATATTCTTCTGTAGACTCTTTTTCTCATCCCTACCCTCCCACCTAATTTTGGTAGTCATTCTAGCTGTAATTATTTTGCCTTTTTATAGGGAAACTCAAATCTAAATAATTGTGGCCTTGCCCCAAACCATCAAGTGAAGCGTATGGCTGGGAATGGTAATCCTCATAGATGGCATACATTCACGTTAAACCAAAGCAAAATGAAGCACCAGATTATGCTAGTTTTCTAGGGAGAGCTGTATTATTTCTTCCTACCATCTAGATATCAAAGACCAGCTGTCACCCACGGTATGGCCAATATCACCAATGGCAAACAAAGTAGCATCTCTAATTTTTCTAAGAATCAACCTCCTTGGACTTACCCTTCATTCTCTAACAATCACTTCCATCAGGATTTGTTCCTGTTCAGTTATTTATACCTGAAACAACCAGCAGTGCATTGACTTAAAAATAAATAGAACACAACATATTTAAACTCTGTCTAATGCACCATGCATTTGTCCAGCATGTGAAATTTATATGAATAGCAAGCCAAAATAGTGCTGCATCAGTTGTTGCAGTCAAATGTGTTTTAGTCAATAATGGCGGAAACAGTGCAAAAAAGAACTCCACAAACACAATGCAACATTCCCTGTAACATGACAGACACTGCAAGAGTTCCGTGAATTTAAACTATTCTGATTACAATTTACTCCACATTGTATCACTCGACCACACAGGACAATGCTTATGCAAGATTCACTGATATCACAGAATTCATGCTCTCAGCTAGATTGTATTACTGTCATCTAGGAGTTGCATTTGTTTAACTCTCCATCTTGAAAGCTTTGCATTTATAAGAACATAAGAACTAGGAGCAGGAGTAGGCCATCCGGCCCCTCGAGCCTGCCCCGCCATTCTTCACCCTTTGGGTGAAGAAGTTCCTTCTGACCTCAGTCCTACATCTGCTTCCCTTTATTTTGAGGGTCCTAGTCCTAGTTCTAGTTTCTAGTCCTAGTTCCACCTGCTAGCGGAAACAACCTCCCTGCCTCCACCTTATCTATTCCCTTCATAATCTTATATGTTTCTATAAGACCTCCCCTCATTCTTGTGAATTCCAGTGAGTATAATCCCAGCCTACTCAGTCTCTCCTCATAATCCAACCCTCTCAACTCTGGAATTAACCGAGTGAATCTCCTCTGCACCCCTCCAGTGCTGGTATATCACTTCTCAAGTAAGGAGACCAAAACTGCACACAGTACTCCAGGTGTGGCCTCACCAGGACCTTATACAGCTGCAGCATAGACTCCCTGTTTTTAAACTCCAGCCCTCTAGCAGTGACAGACAAAATTCCATTTGCCTTTTTAATTACCCGCTGCACCTGCAATCCTACTTTTATGAGTAATTTAAAAAAATGAAGCTCAAACCATGATCAATTTCCAACAATATTCTATGTAGGTACATTGTACAAATTTATTATGAGGAATTCTCATACTAAAAACAGTTAGTGACAGTAGCTCAATTTGGGATGGCATTGGCTGGTAAGAGAAACAAGGATCAAAAAGAGGAAATCAGGAAACCAGGTAATTGCCCAAGCTACACAAACGCCTCCTAGTGGTTGAGATTGGCACAGATGGTGGTGATGCTGCTGTATCAAGGGTGGATCACTTAGAATCTCAATCAGCAGTCAAAGTAGACTGTGGATCAAAGCAGATTGTGAAGGAGTGGAAGGACAAAATAAGGTTTGAGAGTCTATGTCCCCAAAAGGGATATATTTATTTGAAGAGAGAGAAAAAGGGAGCCAGATCGATACTTTGAGTTTAGTATAAACTGCAGCCCAAGTATCACATTATACACCAAAATTCAGAATAGATACACTGAAGTTAAGAATTTCAATAGCTCTTTTCATAAGGTTATAATAGATACACGAGAAGGCTACTCCACCCCTCAAGCCTGCACTGCCATTCAAAAAGATCTGACGTGATCCGATTGTAGCCTCTACACAACTTCCTTGCCTATTCCCCATAACCCTCAACTTCTTTGTTGATCAAGTCAAATTCAGTCTTTAATAAATTCAATAACCCAACCTCCACTGCTCTCGGTGGAAGAGATCTGCACAGTAACACTAGCAATCAGATCAGCTGCAATCTTACTGAATGGCAGAGCAGACTCAAGGGGCCAAATGCCTAATTCTGTTTCTATTTCGTATGAGCATAACCAACCACCAGAAGAAATTCCTTTTCATCACCATAACAAATGGGACAGCCTTTTATCAACTGCGCCCCTAGTACTATATTCCACTCCCCAACCCCCAAGATGAAATATCCTCCTATCATCCACTTTGTCATGCCCCTCAAAATGTTATGTTTCAATAAAATCACCTCTCACTTTTCTAAAGTCCAATAAGTATAGCTCCAGCCTTCTTAAACTTTTCTCATAAGACAACCACTTCTTCCATGGAATCAGACTAGTGAAGCTTCTCTGGACACCTTTTAATGCAATTATATCCCAACTTAATAATATGACCAAAAAATGTACAAAATACTCCAGGTGTCACATCATCAATGCCTGATACAGCCATAACAAGAATTCTCTACTTCCAGGCGGCTTGCAACATTCTATTTGCCTTGCAGGTGAAACTCAGCAGGTCTGGCAGCATTCTTAGGGAGAAAGAAGAATTTACTGAGTCCCATGATTCATCAGTACAAATGCTAATTTTGTTGCCAACTCAACTTATCTTCATCCATTTGCAGATTTTTTCTTTCCTCTTCATGACTCGCTTTCCTTTCTTTGTGTCGTCAGCAACTTTGGCTAAAGGCTGTCCCTTCATTTAAATCAATATTTGAAACCCCAGCAATAAGCCCTGTAACATTCCACGAGATAGTTTTCAAACCTGAATTTGACCCATTTATAATAATGGTCTGTTTCCTGCAAGTTAGTCAATCTATGCTAATATATCACTGCCAACATGAGTTCTTATCTTATTCAGTAACTTTTTAACATGACACCTTATCGAATGCCTTTTGGAAATCTAAAACATAAATCGACAGATTCCCCTTTATTCACCCCAGTTGTTGC